AAAACAATGCATTTTTCAATACCTTTACAAGCTATAACATTACATAATACAGGTAGAGAAAACAAAGTATTCTAAAAAAAACCCCACGTACATCCACAACCAAGTAACTTGTTGCAGATTAACAAAGTGCAAGCAAGCAAGATAGTTTTCTCAGCCCATGTCTCTTTCTGGCAGGCAGCAATTTGCGATTACAAAGAAGAAGTAATTGTTTTATTATTTAAAAGTACTTTGTAAGAATCTTAAGAGAATCACAAATCTAGACTTTTATATAAGAATCACTCATACCTATCTTAAATCCTCAAAATGCACATCTACTCATCAGCAATTCTTAATAGATCATATCAGGAAGCTGACAACCAAAAATCAATCATCCCCAGTCCAGCCTCAGTGAGAGTCACCTCAGCCAGCGCTGCCATTGTTCTTGTTCCCTGACCACAAAGGGTCCCCAGCTTAACTATTCAGAGTGGGTCTAGGTAGGAGGTTCAAACTTTCTGAACTTCAAATTGTCCCCTAAGATTTTTTTTTCATAAAAGCCAGTAGTAAAAACATCTCAACCTAGCTTCCCTCACGACTTTACTTTTCCAAATGTTTTCTAAGCGTGTTGACCACTGCTGATAATCTACATGTGAGTTCTCTAAGTTCTTCTCTAGGGTGGTGACAGAATCATAAGAAACATAATCTGCTCCTGCAGTAATGCCTGAAAGAGGTCAAGCATTAGTACTGTGAATGCCAGAGATAAACTGTCCAGTGAGGGGCGAAAAGCTCCCTTAAAGTTTAATTCTTAGATTAAGAAGGATGTTGAGGGCAGCAAGCAGAGCAGAACTCCATAACAGCATGAAGTCCGCAGGACACAGAGTCCTCGGGACCATGACACATCAAGGCTCACGCATGTGGCTGTGGCAACCCGTGGGCTGCAGTCCATGAGTTCTAAAGCCATTTGTCGTTCTTCCTGCGTGGCCCTTGGCAGGAAAGGACCAGACCTGCAGCAATGGCTTCTTTCCGGAATGATGTTCCCAGCCCTGGTATGGGACACTGTCTGGTATACCTGTGAACCTCTTAGACCTGCCTCTGTATGTACGGTGCACAGTGAGTTGACCCTTCAGGCTGGAGTGGGTTGGTGAGGAAGTCCAGGAGAACTTAGGGCAGGAGGGCCAGTCAGAGGCTCCTCACACACAGGCTGCAGGTGCAGATGAGAAAGACTCTTTTGCATGACTGAGCATGGGACACACAGGGAGGGTACACAGAGTGTGCAATGGATCCGGACTGTTAGCCTGCCATGGTTTCGAGCCTCAGTTTTGTCCCCTATAGAAGGAAGGCCTTGGCGAGGCAGCAGGGCAGGAGTGTGGAGAGCTACTTAATACAGACTCCTGATGTAACCTTGGGTTCAGGGTCTAGCTCTTCAGGAGCAGCTGAGCTTCAGCCCTGGGCCTGTGGGCTCCATGGCTAAAGTCCTAAGTATTGCACAGGTGTGAGCAGAAACCTCAGGGCCAAGGTGGGACTCAGCCTGACTTCTGGAGCAGCCGCCCGGCAGCTGCTGAAAAGCTTAGGTCTCGGACTTAATCACTTGTCTAGATCAGCAGCCTGGGGATAGAGGGTTACTCCCACTCTCTGTAGGGCCCAGCCTGCCTTTTTCCTTTCCTCCTTCCACCTCAGCACTGCCCCTCCACTGCCCCTACCTGCCTGTGTGTGTATGTGTGTGTGTGTGTGCACTCGTGTACACATGCATGCACATGCGTGTGTCCCTTCTCCTCTGCTCATCCATGCAGTGTGCAGCCTCCATCCAGCTGGCTGGAGCCTCATGTTCTCCTAAAAGCTGGCTGTGACCCCTTCAGACTCCCCCACCCCCATCCCCTGGATCCCAGAAGATTCTGAGGTGGTTTTGAGAAGGCCAGGCGTCAGTTACGCTTCTCCCCCTGCCTTTCTTCCTTTATCTGTCCCAACCTCCCTTTGCAACCTTCTCTCCTGCTCACTCCCCTGGCAACACCACCCACAGCTCCAGCCAGACTGAAGGACTCTGCTTATCTTAGGCATCCTGTGTCCTCCCTCCAGGCCTTGTCTTGGGTCAGAACTCTTCTTGGGTTCGCTTTAACCCTTTCTCTTCTGCTCAAAGTGTAACCATACTGGCAGGAATGAAGGTACCCTAAAGAAACTTGTGCCCTCTTTCTGGTTATTAGACTGTTGAGAAAATGGCCCCCCAATAAATTGGAATTTCCATAGGAATCCCATGCTGGGAGAAGCAAGAGTCTGAAACCTGTTGCCAGCTGGGGGTGGGGGTAGGAGTTGGGTGTGGGGAGCTTATCTCAAGGAAAGGTTTCTTACAGTTTCCATAGCTTGTTTGATCACCTTGAAGAAGAGACTGGAAGCCATCACTGATGAGCCAGTGATGGGCAGGACCATACCTCACCAGAAATGCCTTCTGAATACATAATTTACCAAAGAAATCTCTGTTCTCTGTGTTGCACTATTACTTTGTCTATTTAACTGGACTATTGAGGATGGGTGACCCAGGCTCTTGCCCTAGCAAACAAATCCCCAGTCTTCCAGGACCAGCCCTCCCAGGTCCCTTTTCCGGTATCTGGTTTATCATTAGCTCCTCTCTCGTGTCTGTGCCCACACCATTTGTGTAGCCCTGACTCATATGCACGTGTCTGCTTTTTTTTTTTCTAGCTAGTGGGCTCTGCCTCCCTGCTGGGGCAGTTTGCAGAGCAGGACTGAGACAGCAGGCATCTGCCAGGCACAGGAGTAGGCATGGGCTTCTTCATATCCTGGTCACTACACTGAGGAGAGTCCTACTATTATTGCCTCTGAAATGAGCAGAGCCAGGGCTCAGAGAGGTGAAGCCATATGCCATTGGGCATAGACCCAGCTAAGCAGGTCTCATCCCAGTGGGTACCGTCACCTGCCTCCTGTAGCAGGGCTAAGCCTTGAGCTTGTCCGACCACACATCATGGATGTCTTGTGCATTGGCTACATCCAGGAGTAGGAAGCGGCAGCAGGTGGAGGAAGAGGCTGAGCTAACACAGGCAGGTCCATTCTACCTTGATGGAGGTGATGGAAGATGTGACCCCCCGGGAGGCGATAGTTCCAAAGCTGGGGCCAGATCTGCTCCTCTCCATACCAAGGTGTGCCTGATTTTCTTTCTGTTTCCCAGCTGGATCTTACACGGTCTCTTTGTGTGCTCTCCCTCAGCGCTGCCTGCCTCCCAGGGTGTTTATGCACGTGGAGTGCCTAGGCCAGAGTGCATGCAAGAGCCTAAAATCTCAAGACTTGTCTTCTCCCTGCTGGCTGGTGAGTCACTCAGCACTTCAGTAGGCAGGGACAGAGGCAGATACAACCCTTGTCCTCCTGGGCTCCCTAGGTGTGCAGCAACCTTGCCTGCCCTGAGCCTTTTTCCAGTTCACCATCGTGTTCACCAGGTGCCAGAGCTCCATCTGCCTCCCTCCCAGCCCAGGGAGCAGCCAGTGATTCCTCCCGCTCTGTGGATGTTCCTGGCTCCACCTCCTGTCCACACGTCTAGAGCTCTAATCTTCCTGTGACCTGGTCCCTGGTAGCTGTCCTGTGGTCACTGGGGTCTGGAAGCTGCTAAAGAAAGTAAGAAAACCAATAGACTTCCTTCAACAGCTCCATTCACTGTCCCTGCAGGCATTTTCTGCCCTCAGGAATCTATCTAGCCAGCCAAGCACTGTCTGCTTTTCCAGTGCCCCTCCATCTCTTTGTTTCGTAAGTTCTGAGCCTGCTGACTTCACCTTTGACTTGGGATTCATGGAGATGCTACTGTCTCTCTTTTTCTATAGTATTTATTCACTCATCTATCTATCTATCTATCTATCTATCCATCATCCAACCCTATATTCATCCATTCAACTATCTCTCTGTCAATCCATACATCCAGACATCCAAACATCCATCCATGTGTGCAGTCTTCCGTCCGTGCATACATCTATGCATCTATCTCTTCAGTTCACAGGAGGAGGGTTTGTTTGTTTGTTTGTTTTAGATGTGAGGTCCTGTGTTAGATGCCAGGGACCTTGAGCCAAACAGGCCATCTCTCTTCCCTCTGGAGTTCACAGTCCAGCCTGGAGAACATGGGGAGACACAACTCTGAAGTCGTTTCTAGTTTTAGTATCCTGAGCTCATGACCTGTCCTCAGACGATGCCAGTTAACACTAGGTAACCAGTGTCTGATGGAGAAGCAGAGCCATCTTCATTCGGGAACAGAGGGGCCCTGTATCGGTTTAGCTAAATCCTACTCTTTTCCATCGCCCCTCTGAGGCAGCCACACTGAGGAAGGATAGACACAAAGCTGTACTGATCTCAGTGCCCTTGGATTTTCCAGTCCCTTTCTACTTCCATCTCTGGGGATTGAACTTGAGTCCTCAAGCTTGTACATCAAGCCCTTAACCAACTTGAACAGTAGCTCCAGTTTCTCCTCTTCCCTTCCATCTCTACTATACCTGTGCTCACCACCCTTCCACTGTCCCCTCTACTTTCTCTTCTATTTATTTCATCTTCTCACAAGGGGTAGGGCATGGAAAGTTGGAATTCAATGCCCCCAAAGGGACCCTTGTCACCACAGTCCTTGAAGCCACAGCTCTCAGATGATAAACTATGGAGCGTTTACCATGTGAGCCTACAAAGCTCAGGAGCCCCCCTCCCCTTGCCTCTCATCCTTCCTCCCTTCTCCTCCCCACCTTCCTCTCCTTCACCATAGAGCACAGGCAGAGATTGAATCACACACCTAAGTTTTTGGTTCGAATTCTCACCTACAAAGCAACACTTCCAAACTCAGTCAACCACTGAAGCATGGGGTGTGTCCAGCAAAGATTCTCCCCCTCGGTCCCCTCCCGACCCTTGTCCTCTCTATTCTGGGACTGGTTGGAGGAGGGAGAGGATGAGGACAAGGCTGAGAAGAGAGAGTAGTGTGTGTAGAGGCTCTCTAGGGGAAGCAGGGAGGTGTGAGCTCAGGGTCATTCCTGGGGACCACCCATTGGTCAGCTCACCGAAGTGTCCTCGGAGCAAGAGGCGATAATGTTGTCAATGAAGGGGTTCCATTTGATGTCCAGCACACTGCCTTGATGACCGCATACCTTGGGGTAGTTTGGCTCGATTCTGCCTGTCTGTAAAGGAGAGACAAATCATTAGTTTGGTGCCCCCGTTCAGAGCGGCTCAGAAAGGGAAGATCTTTGCCCAGACTCCTCTGCTAGGATGGGCTCCCCAGGCCCTTTACTTCCTTTCTGTGACCCGATGGAAAGTCCTAGGCTGTTTTGACAGCTGTGACTCAGCCAGCGGGTGTTTTTTCTCAGCAGGCTGGAGCCACAGGCAAGGCCTTGAACATTCCTGGGCTCTGATAAAGGTGTCAAGACTATTACCCAGAACAGGGGGTAAGAAGCCCTGCCTCCTCCATTCCTGAGCCCAAATTCCTTAAAGTCTCAAGTAGGCTCTACCAGCCCCCTTACTGGTGGGAGGGGACACTTGAAGGTCAGCTATAGTCCTCAGTAAGCCAATGTAATCAGTGCTTGAACCCTGTCACTTGCAATGTTTCTTTCTTTAGAATCCCAGGTGACTGGGAAATACATTGAAGGTGCTCTCTGGTGGGAATTATATTTTTTGGATTGTATGCACGGTGTGTGTGTGTATGTATGTATGTATGTGTGTGTTTTAGGTTGGAGGTCAGAGGTCAACCTCGGGAGTTCCTCAGAAGCCATCCATCTTATCTTTAGAGACAGAGTCTCTCACTGTGACATGGGGCTCACCAACTGATCTAGACTGGCAGGCCACCCAGTTCCAGGGATCCTCTGATAGCTTTCCTCCAATCACTGGGGTTGTAAACATTACTGCTGTGTTCTCCTGTGGGTTCTGGGGACTAGACTCTGATGCTTGCACTGTTACAGGAGTGAATCATCTCAGCAGCCCCACTGATGTCATCTTTTGTTCTAGCTTACTTTTATACGTGTGGCTCTGTTCCACATGTGTGCCCTCAGCAGCTGGAGGAGTGTGTCAGATCCCCTGGAATGGGGTTAGAGACAGTTGTGAACCACCGTATAGGTTCTGGGAATCGAACCTGGTTGGAAGAGCAGCCAGTGCTCTTCGCCATCTGTCCACCATCTTTTGTTTTATCAGGACAAGCTTTCAACTCTTAAGTTAGTCTGTGGACCCAGCGGGCCTAGAATTCCTGGAGCTCTCTCTAATAGCCATCCAAGGGCTGGGACGACAGGTGTGCACCACCACACACACAGTTTGGTCCTAGGTGGGGTCCCAGTGCTCCGTGCAATCCAGGCAGACGCTCCACCAGCCAAGCGACCCCCAGCCCTAGACTGTGATTTTTAAGCTGAGCCATAAATGACCCCAGGATCTACTAAGGCTGGACGCTGATGACAGCTCTCACAACAAACTGAACTCAACGTGAGGAAACGAAGGCCCAGAAAGGCTCATTAATGGCCGAGAATCAAACAGCTAAGAGTGAGGCTGAGATTTTTTGGTGTGATTCTTCCAGGCATGCCCTTTGAACCTTGTTGTTCCTAGCCAGTGTCCCTCCCCCAGTTCCCCTTAACTTGGCAGGCTGGATCTTGGCTGCCTGCAGTGCCCCCCCCCCCCTCCTCCCCCCTCCCCCCCCCCTCCCCCACCCCCAGGCACTCCTCACAGCTCATCTTAAAGCTGCACTTGAGTTTTTGCTTAGCAAAGCTGTCTGCGTTAAGCTTCTGGCACCCAGCCCAGCCCAGGCCACTCTGAGAGGCACTGAGGCTGGTCAATAGCTAGCTATCAGGAACACCGGGCTAGGAGTCCATGGGGGATGTGCTGGCCCTGGAAGGAAGGGTCAGCCACATCCTTGGACCCTGTGTGGAGTGAGGAGAGACTAGGGCCATGCTCTGGGTAGGGAATAAGACTTTTACTTATTTTTTTTTAATTTGTGTGTGTGTGTGTGTGTGTGTGTGTGTGTTTGGTGTGTTTGAATGTGTATTCCCCAGTAGGCATGGAGAGGTCAGAGGACAAATATGGGGAGTTTTACCTCTACATGAATTCTTGGGTCAGCAGACTTCTGTTGTGGGGCAAGCACCTTTGCCTGCTGGGCCACTTTACCATTTTTTAAGACTTGTTTGTCTTAAATACAGGCTCTCACGTGGCTCAGGCTAGCACTGAAATTGATACCTACGGTTAACTTTGAACTTCTGCTCCTCTTGCTTCCAGCTCCAGAGTGCTAGAACTACAGGCATGTACTACCGCGTGAAGGTTACACCCTGGTGCATGCTAGGCTAAACACCCTACCAACAGAGCTACAGTCCCAGTCCCCAAGAAGACTCTTAGTAGGACACAGTTGGGAAAATGTAATAGACACAAATAATTTTGTATACACAGTGAAACAGTTAAGATGTGATGAATTACTTGGGAGGCAGAGGCAGGCAGATTTCTGAGTTCGAGGCCAGCCTGGTCTACAGAGTGAGTTCCAGGACCGCTAGAACTACATACACTGAGAAACGCTGTCTTGAAAAACAAAACAAAACAAAAAAAAGATGTGATGAATTTTTAATACTCTGTACACCTCAGCTTCTATTATAATTTATTTAATTGTAAGTTAATGTGATTTAATTTTTAATAAAGGCTGTATTTAACAGCTGGCTTTAAAAATTTCATAGAAACTTAGCCGTGGGCTCTCGTAGAGAGGATACACTGACAACAACACACCACTCCTAGTGTTACTAAGACTATTTACATCTTTGACATAAAGACGAAATAACCAGTCAGATGCTTGACAGACATTCTAAAGTTATATATATATACACACACATATATATACATATATATAGTATATATTATATATATATATCATCTGGAAGACAGAGGCAGGAGGATCAAAGTTTGGTGCAAGCCTGGGGCTATACAGATAGACACTAAGTAAATAAATGAATAAGCAAACAAACAAAGTAGCTAATCCATTTCCCGCAGGGGCTATGAGTACAGAGAGGATCCTCATCTGTCTGTTTTCAAGCCTGGCAGCAGGCTGCTATCCGCTTCCTCCTTCTAACACTTAATGCCAACCCTCCCCTCAATAGTTCTCATTCTGACACCAGGGTGGACAGAGACTATTGATACATATTAATATAATCAAATCTGAGCCTGGAAAATGGCTTAACTGGTACAGCGCTTTCAGACCTGAGGACCTGAGCTTGTGTCTGTGACCCCCAGTAAAAGCCAGGTTACAGTGGCCCTCATTTATAACCTTGAAAGTACAGAGACGGGGCAGATCCCTGGGGTTTGATAGCCAGCTAGTCTAGCTGAATTGGCAAGCTCCAGGTTTCGTGAAAGATCTCTCAAAAACTTAAAGTGTTTAAGTGGTTAAGGAGGACATTCTGTACTGACCTCTGGCCTCTACCCACATACACATGTGTGTATACATGCACACTTGTATACACACAGACACAGAAACAGACACACACACACACAGAGTCACACACAGACATACACACACACACACACACACACACACAGACATACACACAGAGACACAGTCACACACAGTCAGTGTGGCCAACCCACACTGTCGCTGGGGCTTATGAACAGAGCAACCCCTCACCTGTCTGTTTTCAAAGTGGCTCCTAGCTGCTGTCCAATGCCTCCTTCTCATACTTAATACAAGTCCCTCACCAATATTGTTGCAAACTCTAACACAGACTGCGACTATTAGTATATCTTACCAAATATGATCAGATTTAAATCTCAGGACAATTCCATTTTACAGCCAAGAAAACAAGTCTGGATTGCTCCTGAGTGTGGTCAGGGTTTTCCAGTGTGACATATCAGAATGACTTGCAGGCTTGTATTTCTTGTGGCGCATGGGCTGCAAGCATCCCAGGAGAGCTATGAATACATCCCAACATATTTGTAGATGCAATGTTATATTGTAGTGTCAAAAGCTTGACCAGCCCTGATAGATGGCCAGTGCACACAAAAGTCCCTGTGGTGGGTTCCTTGGGGTTTGGAATGTAAGATGCCATCTGGTCCTTGAGCCTCCCAGGGCTTCAGCTTCCACGGCACCAGACAGGGACTTAGTATAGGATGGATGGGGAGGGATCTTGGGGAGAGAGGAATACAGCTTAGGACTTGCTTGCATGGGAATTCATTCTACATGGGGGGATCGCTTTCCTGGAGGCAAAATCACTCCAATACTTTTACTTAATTAAAAAAAAAAAACCTAAGAATTGAAAAGATGGCTCAGAGATTAAGAACACTGGCTGCTCTTCCAGAAGTCCTGAGTTCAATTCTCAGCCACTACATGGTGGTTCACATCCATCTGTAATGGAATCTAATTTCCTCTTCTGGCGTGCATGAAGAAAGAGTATATATATATCAAACAAATAGATCTTTTGTTTTGTTTTGTTTTGTTTTTCGAGACAGAGTTTCTCTGTGTAGCCCTGGATGTCCTGGAACTCACTCTGTAGACCAGGCTGGCCTCAAACTCAGAAATCCACCTGTCTCTGCCTCCCAAGTGCTGGGATTTGTGCGCCACCACTGCCCAGCACAAATACATCTTTTTAAAAGTACTTTTATGTATTTAGCGAGTGAGGAAGGGCATGCATGTACATGTATGAGAGTAAGCATGCCATAGTGCCCATGTGGAGGTCAGAGGAAAACTTACAGGAGTCAATTCTCTTCTTCCACCATATGAGTCCTGGGGTCAAGCCCAGATCACCAGGCTTGACGGTAAGTACCTTTACACACTGAGACATCTTACTGGTCCTGTATTTTATTTTGCAGACAGGGCCTCAAGTAGCCTAACAGGTCAGACTCAAATTCATTTTGTAGCTAACCTTGAAGTGATCTTCCCTCCTCTACCTCCAGAATTCTGGGATTCCAGGCATGTGTCACTGTGCCCAGCTTCTGTGGTACTAGGGCTTCGTGCTTGCTAAGACAGTGTTCCACCACTGAACCGTATCCCCTTCCCCCTCAGCAGACATTTAACAGGTTTATGACCCTTGGTTAACAGTTGTACTTTAGGAATTTACTTCAGAGTAATCCATTGAGAGGTACACCGAGACATCATTCCTGAATTGTTCCCCTCCCCCCAAAGCCCTGCATAGAGAGATCACAGCATGCCGATTTCACAGCATTGGATCTGAGGAAC